GGAACTGACAGGTTTAACCTCGGTCCTGCCCAGAGTTCCTGGAGTAATGGGTATTTCCCTTCTAATATTAGAAAACCCTGAATGTCAGGTCACATTTTTGCCCAGTAACAATTTCAGGTAAGGTGTGAAGGATGTTGCTAATTTGCAGACTAAAGAAAAAAACTATTAGAGTAGTATGTGGTTGGCTTTGGGGTTATATCATTATTTGAATCCAGCACTGCCACCAAGGTGCTGTGTGACCTTGGGCTCATTTCTTAGCCTTTCTGAACCTCGGTCTCATTCATAAAACGATAGTCTCTCCCTCACTTGGTTACAAAGATTAAATGAGGTGAGATATGTAAAAGACATAGTTTCCAACATGGAGTGATCAGTAGCGATCAGTAAGGAGTAAGAACCATTGGTCGTGGAAAGGACATGTTCTGGGGATGGAACGTGGAACACGAGAGCAGTTACCGTAGCCTATAGGCAGGAAAACATCCTGAATGATAGGGCCTTAATTATAGGAACATTTAAGAACCCCAGATTACCACATAGTGGTACGCCAGGCAACTTTCTAGCTATCGTTTGGCTTTAACTAGAGGAATGAACTAGACCAACAGTCCCCTGATCAGCTGCTTCTCTGTTTGCTGTGTGGGAGTGTCTCTAACCCAGGAGACACTGGTTTCCTGTTGGCAAGGTAGTGACCCAGAGTGTCCTGGTCGGCGTGGGTCCTGCCACCTTTGCTCCCCGCCCAGAATGGCATTGTCTGTGTTTGCTTAGCCAGTCTGTTGAGGGCCTCTTTGTGCCAGGACCTTCTCAGCTGAGTTCCCAACCGTTTTAGGCTGTAAACAGACATGTTTTGTTAACTCAGCGTGCATTTTGAGGCCAAGTCGTGACACTGTTCGGGCCTTTTGTCTAAACGCGTGTGTGGCGAGGATCCTGTCCCCTTTATGCTGTCCATGTGCGTAGTTAACCCTTTGCTGCTACTTACGAACGCCTCCACTTTTGACGTGTACTTCGCACCGTGCTTTGATGGAACTCCTGCCACAACCCGTGTCTCAGCTGGGAGGTGGCGGCCCTTCCCGGTGCTGCTGCTGGTGGCTCTGGCGCTTCCAGGGGCCTTTTGGCCACGGAGCTTCTCTCTAAGCAGCCTTCCCGTCCAGAGCCTAGCTACGGGGACGTACAACCGAGGTGACCGTTTGTGGAGTAAGGAGGCAGGGGTACGGGTGTCCCACCCTCTGCGCTCAGGCCTGAGCTGGAAGCAGGACTTGGAATGAGGGAGGAGTGCCCATGGCCTTTCTTCGCTTCACGCGGCTGGACAGCCTGGCATCGAAGATTCACCGGACCTCCCGTGTGACCCCTGTCGTCTTTCCAACTGTCTCTTCTTCCAGCTGCTTCCTTCCTGGTCATTCTCTATCAGACTCACCTATGGCAGCAGTGATGTTCCTCATCCTGGTGGTGGCCGGCTTCGGTGACACCTGCGCACCTCCCTCTCCGGGACGAGCCGAGGCTTGTTTCCCCAGAGAAGCTCCAGGCGGAAACCGGAAAGGCAGGGCCCATCAGAGCAGCCTCTACCGAACGTGTGGTCCTGCAGCATTGCGGGGATAGTTCTGGCGTTGACGGGCTCAAAGTGGCAGAAGAGCTAGCTGGGGGGAAGCTTAAGAGTGGCTGTTTCAGACTCACGGGACCCGAGGGGCCCTTGGGTGCTGCAGCCCCTCTCCTCTTGAGGACAAGAGAGGGCCCAGGGAGGGAAAGGGCCCCAGAGCAGCTGAGTTTGCAAACTACGGATGGACACCAGCAGTCCACGTGTTAGTTTCGGTTACTGACTGACCTTTAGCCTTTCTGAAGCGGACAAGGGCGTCTAGTGAAAAGGGCTGGTGGAAAACGTGTGGGTGATTAAGAATTACTTTTGACTCAGGAATTTTTTTTTTTAAGGAACTCAAGACGACAACTTCCAAGTTTCCTTCCACAGTATCCAATACCAGATAGACTTAAGAAATGTGTGGAACAAAAAATCGACATTCTGACTTTTCAGCCGTTACTCGCAGAGGTAGGGAAAGGGTCTGAGAAAATACTCTTCACTGAGAAAAAACTTGGGTTTTCTGACGGAATCAGGGGGAGCCCTACCCAGGTTCATTTTTTGCCACAGTTGGCTGGGAATTTCCAGTTCATGGGAGACAGTCCTAGTTGTGGGGACGCCGGCAGCCCAGCCTGTCTCTGCTTGGCGTGGCTTTCCCTCCAGGGTCAGATTCTCAGCAGCTGGGAAGGCGTCACATGTGGGAAGGCCCTGCAGCCATCGGGACCAGGGCGGGGACCAGAGCCGGGACGGCAGGGCCACACAGCTGCCGCCCTTGCCAGGTGCCGTGGTGCTGCCTTGTGCTCGGGCCCATTGGTGGCTCCCGGAGGAAGTCTCGTCCAGCCTGTCCACTGTTAGAGGTGGTGGCTGAAGCCAGACCCGGAGCGGGGCCCCTGCAGGGGAGGGGTGGCACCGAGGAGCCCAGGGACAGGGAACACATGCCTGTGAGCACATGGAAACCAAGCCCAGGCAAAAGGAAAGTGTCCATCTGCTTGGTGGGGAGAGCGCTTGCCCGGTGTACAGGAGGGCACTTCCCATGGGGTTCGGGGGTCCACGAGCCTGTGCGGTGTCCAAGTGATGACGGGGAGACCAGACAGCAGCCGGAGGGTGCCCTTATGTGCGCTGAGCACGTGCGGCAGGGGAGACCAGGTGGACGTGGGGCTGTGCGCAGAGGAAAGAAGGTTTAGGGGGAAGCGGGGACCTGGGGAGTGGTTGTCTGAACCAGAGCAGATGCCCCTAGGGGTAGTGGGGCCCTTCCTTCCCGCGAGGCTCTGGGCCCCCAGCGGCCGGGCAGGGGAGGCTCCCGCGGTGCCGTGGCGTGCGTTCGGGAGGCACAGGTCAGAGGGCCCCCCCCCCACCCCAGACTTGCTAGCCTTCTGGAAGAGGGAGAGAGAGGCCACATACGGTGAGTAGCACATGGAGACACCGGGCAGGTGGGACAGCCCTGCGTGGCTGGGCCGCTGGCATGGCCGCTTGGAGGGGCCAGTGTTGCAGAGCGTGGATGGAGCGGGCCGCAAACTGGAAGCGGGGAAGCTTGTTAGGAAGGCGTTGTAGTATCCGTAATGAGTTCCGGGTCTGAACTAGGTTCCGTGGCAGCAGGCTGGCCGTAGAAATAGTTGGGGGGAGGGGGCACACCCTGAGGCCAAGTGACTGGACCATCATGAGAGCCTGTGTGTCCCTGACTCCCCTTCACGTGAGCCTGGGCGCCGGAAAGGGACCTTCCTCATGAAGGCAGAAGTTCGCAGATGAAAATTGAAGCGATAACGTTGATGGTACCAGTTGTGAAAAGTGCTGTGAGGTTGAAGGTTCCAGACTTGTGTCGCGGGTGTGGTCTGTTTAGTCATGTAACTGCCCGTGAGACGTGCCCTTGGTCAGCGTCCCCGCAGCCCGCGTGAGTGTGGGCACATGCTCTGATGAGCACGGTGTCACCGCGGTCCAGATGAGGGATGCCTCTGTCCCCCCAGCATTTCTGTGTGCCCCCACCCCATCTCTCTGCTTCACGTGCTCCACCTTCTGTCGCCAGATTTTTGTTTCCTTTTTGGAATTCTACAAACAGAATCCTAGTATTCTTTTTCTTTGGCCCTTTAACTCGGCGTAGTTATTTTGGTTTGAGGTCCGTCTGTGTGGTAGACAGAAGAACGGCTCCCAAAAGATGTCCACGACTCACACCGGCACCTCTGACCTGGGTCACCTCACATGGTCGAGGGGACTCGGCAGGTGGGGGAGATGACCCTGGATTTTCCAGGTGACCCAGCGGAGCCCAGGAGTCCTTGTGGGAGGGCACCAGGAGGGTCGGACCCCGGGAGGTGGACGGGCCGGTTGGCCCGTGATGGTGGGGATGTGGCGCTTCTCGGAGAAGAACGGGCAGGAGGACATGCTTCTCCCTGGGGGGCCTCCAGGAGGAAGCGGCCATACCCACACCTGGGATTCAGCGCCGTGAGGCGAGGTCACATCTGTCACAGTTGGTACTGCTGTGTCCCTGCTTCTTAGGGCTGTGTCGTCGCCATGGGAGCGCGTTCCTCGGCTCACCTACTGATGCCACACAGGAGGAGTCCCACACTGCATGGCTGTGTGTCACAAGACACCTGGCCACGGAGGCTGGCGGGCTGCCTTCCAGCCAGGGGCCGGAAGAAGGGGGCCGGGGGAAGCAGTGCCGACCGGGTCAGGCTGTCATTACAGGTGGCCGCACCACACCGTGAATGTGCTCGGTGCGCTAACTTGTCCACCTGAAAATGGTCCATCTCGTGAGTTTCAGCTGCTTTTACTGCCTCTGTTGCAAGGATCGTGTGGTTTTCTTTCTTCAGTCTGTTCACGTGGTGAACTCCTTTGATTTTCCAGATGTTAGATCAGCCTTCTGTTCCTCTGATAGCACTCACGTGTGTGCACACGCGTTCATCTGTGTTCACGAGGCACGTTGGTCTGTAGTGTGGTTTTCTTGTGACACTTTTGTCCTGTGTTGATTCGAGCGTAGCATGGGCCTCCTAGGGTGGTTTGGGGTCCCCCCCTCTTTATTTTCCGACGAGTGTGTATGTAGGAGTGCAACTACTCATCCCTTAAAACCTCTGACGGAATTTACCAGCAAGGCGTTCAGGTCAGTTTTCTTTGTGGGAAGATTTTTAATTAGGAATTCAGTTTCTTTAGTAGTGATAGGGCAAATCAGCTTCTTTCTTGAGTGAGCTTTTGTGGGTTGTTTTTTTTTAAAGGACTTTGTTACTGTTTAAGCTAATTTATTTGCATGAAGTTGTTTATAATGTTGGTAATTTGCACCTCTTTTTTCCTGATCATTCTGGTTAGATGTTTATGAATTTTTACTAATCTTTTCAGAGAGTCAGCTTTTAATTTTATTGTTTCTATTTTTTTTTCATTGATGTCTGCTCTGATTCTTACTATCTTTCCTCTGCTTACTTGTTTCATTTGTTCTCTTTTATGTTTATTGACATTTGTTTCCTAGCTTAAAATATCTGTTTTGCTAAGTATTTCTTGCACACTTGAAAAGAACATGCTTTGTGCCATTAGTAGTGGGTTATTGTGTAAAAATCAGGGTGTGTTGGTCAGTAGTGTTGTTGAAATCTTCTGTGTCCTAATTGACATCTGTCTTCTGTCCCACCACTTCTGGAGAGGCAAGTCTCACTCATAGCCGTAGACACGTGTCTGTTTGTCCATGCCAGGCCATCGGTCTTTACTTCCTGTATCGCAGCTCTGTAATTAGGGGCAGAAATATTCATGGTTATCATGTCATCTTCATTGGTTAGCCCCTTTTTCGGCATGAAACGTCTCACTTTATTCCTGGTGTTCTTGGTTCTGGAATCTACTCTGTGTGATACTCGTGTAGCTTATGCAACTTGTTTCTGATCAGTGTTAACATGGTGTTTCTTTTGTCCTACTTTTAACCTGTTTATGATTTTACCTTTTTTTTTTTTTTAAGTCTTTTTAAAAAAATTTTTTTTAATGTTTATTTTCGAGGAAGAGAGAGAGAGTGAGTGGGGG